AGCGACAACCAACAGCAGAAGCGACAGACCAGACCGGGCAGACCAGGCCAGGGCAGGCCAGGCCAGGGCAGGCATCGTATCGCAAAAGACGTCACTGCGGTCCCCGTTCCCAAGCAGCGACAAAAAGTGCGATAACGAAGGCGATGATGCCAACTTCAGGCTCAGCGCCCCCATGAGCTGAATACTTGCTGAGTTTGTTGGCGTCATGTGCCTTTTGCGCAGCGGCTGTGCAGACATTCAGCTCTCTGTCCACTGTCCTGTTCCCAGTTTCCACCACCTCCCTCCAGCAATGCAGCACAAGCAGACTCCCCGAAGAGCAGCCGCCATGTCGCAGCTCCCTCCCCTATTAGCACCTCACCCAGGTCAATATGCCCCCCGAGTCTCAGCACTGAGGAGGAGGCGAGCACCAGACGAGTGTGAGTGCGAGCCGGGATTCTTTCTTTAGTGGGTTGAGGCCCTGTGCCTTGTGGGTGATGTGGATCGTTTGGAGCGCCCGTGGTTGGCCAAGCGACCGTCGGCGCTTCCCTTGCTCCTTAACCCGTAACTGCGCCCCAGTTCTCTCGAAACTGGTCGACGATGCCCTCTTTCTATTTGCTGCCGCTGTCTTACCTAAGCCAGCCAGGAACCAGCCTAGGCACCTGGTAACGGTCCGTTCAACCCATCCCCTGAAGATCAACACCATCGAATCCACCACCAACCACGCCTGCCATCACATCCCACCACCGCCGCCGCCCATCGCTCGCCCCCCGCGGACCTCGACTCTGCGCCGCCCATCTGCCCCTCCAAGCGTCACGGTCAGGCTGTCGCTGCCCAGTCATGGCGAACAGACACGGGAATCGTGGCCCGGCTGCTCGGCTCGTTGGTGCTGGCGTTGGCCGGGCAGGGCTTGGGACGTCTGCCTGTGCGAACAGCACCGCAGCACTGGAGCACCAAACAATGCGATGGACGTCACAAACAAACACCACCATCGGCATTCCACCCGTCGACCTATCCGCACCGCAACGGTCAATGATCAACCGCCATCCCAACACAACATGCACAATGGAAATCCCTCAATCCATATCATCATCAAATTCCCATAAACATCAAACTCCGTTCCGCAACCGCACCCGCGAATAAGAAACCAGAAGCCCGGGATCTCCCCTTCCTCAGGGCCTCTGCAACCGCCAACGTCTGGCGAACACCCCTAACCAAAACCACCAAACATGAAGCACACTGAAGCAACCCTCTCCTCCGCTAGGAACCCGTCCCCTTGCGATTTGCGACGCTGATCCATGTCGACGCATGACATCACCAAATTGCTCCAAACAGGATATTCCCTCTCCTCTTCCCCTTCGAGGCCGCCGTCCCGTCTCGAGGTCTCGACTTTTGGTCCGATTACCACCTTCACGAATCATTGGCCTTATTTTTTTTCAGACGATGTGGCTTCAATGCGACGCAGCAATTTGGGACAATTGCACCCCCAAATTCCTGCGCGAAAAACAAATAGCTACAAGCCACATCTCCCATCTAGCGCCACCATTTCTCAGCTGCGGCGCCACACATCGGCTACCCGGCTGGCAACTGCTGCCATCATCACAGGCCCAGCCATCAGAAGTTCAGAACGCATGCACCCCAGCCTGATCTCACTCACGACAGTCACGCAACAGCATCGTTCTGCCAGCAAGCGTAAGCATGCGCTCCATCCCCTCTCCGCGTATGTCCGTGGCATTCGCCGCCGTCTTCCCACAGCTCGTATCGGCGAGTCAGACTTCGGTGTCCCCAAAAATCGCAGTGAAGGCTGCCGGAGGACGCCAGCTCAGCGCCCAGAAATAGCAGCACAGCTCAGCGCACCAGGGCACCGGCTCCGGAAAAAAAAACACAGGGAGCCTAAATAGATCCGAGCCCACCCACCACCCCACGGCCACCAACTCGGGAATGCGGAAGCGGAAAATGCGCTACCCATTTTTAAGGTACGGCAGACAAGGGAGGCAAACAAGCTTCAAAAGAGGCTCTGCCACTATCTTTGTGGACTCAACGGCCACAAGATAACCGTAAATGCTTACATTGACATTGTTTTCGTGACAACAAAGAGATGCGCAACTGCTTTCAGCATGAATGCTACAACGCTGGGGCTTGTTTGCAACCTCGACAATTATCTTAGCAAAGGAGTGAAGGGTCATGTTTCTCTGCGTAATTACCGTTGTGACCCGACCCGTGCCTCGTCAACGATAAGTCAAACTGGACAATTGTCACTCAAGACATCTAACCTCTCATCGCACATGACGCTCTCCCTCCAAATTTGGCGCAATGAACAGTCGCAGAAGCTTTACGTGGCGCCGTTGTATGCAACTAGACAAGTTGTCGCTTGGCTCTACAACTTCATCAGATGGGTGCAGAGCTCGTGACCCATCCAGTCCAATCCCCTCGTGAATCAAACCACAAACTCAGACTCTCACAGAAATGATGAAGCTTATGCAACGCGATGAGCGAGGTGGTCATTTATCTAGGCTACAACAAGTGGTTGAGGGATCCCAGGTCTTGACGAGAAGCTGAAGCTGAAGTCAGGGTCGGCTTCATCGCTATCGTTCTCGAGATACTAGGGGCTCCCTGTGGCGTTTATAGGACAACAGCCGTCTAGTAGTAGTATTTGCAGTTCGTTGTCCTCGATGCTGGGAAGGCTGGGGCTAGGTAACCTCACGTCTTAGATATCGGATATAGGCTATAGTAGAGTAACTTTGTCACATAGAGGCTCGTGGTCTTATCGCCCGATTCCCAGAGACTGCGTAGGTCTTTGTTCGGCGTTCTCTTTGCGACGTGGTGTCGGTGACGGCGAGCAGGGGTTCAACGTTGAGTGAGAAAGCAGGTCATCAGCGCCAGGCCTCAGATGGCGTGTCTAGTGCTCGATGTAGGTTGACAACTCCGTTCGGGCAGATTCCGAAACATGGCTTTGTTCGAGTGGTGTGATCGAATTTCGGAGTGATGGTGCTTCAACATCTGATTTGAGCCTGAATTTTCATCCACCGCAGGAGAACAAAAGATTGAAGGGCAGATGCTAATGGAGCATCAGGCCAAGGACGATGAAATACAATAGTTTTGCTACACAGGTGAGAAATAAGCACAGACGACGACGGAGATAATAACAGATACTAAGGTTAACTAGCATAATAACAGTGACGACAAGGATAGCAACAACAACGACGACGGGGACGACAACAACGATAGGGATAGTAATAAGCCAAAAGCCTAGAAAAAGGATATCAGAGAAGGATTTAACAGTATTAGAAAACTACCAGACTGCGAAATACCTGTTAAAACCAAAAGGTATAGCCAGAGGTATTAGTCGGAGAGCAAATTTCTATCTAATTACAAACTTAGATTCTTCTCTATAAGTAAACAAGTCGTCCGAAAGAAGGCTACCAAACGTCTACAGGAGATTTTAGTTCGTGTCACATAGAGATACTGACAGTCGTACTGATTTTCAAATTCTAACAGTATTATGCCTTGCGCAAAGCCTGGAGTCCTCGATTTCAACGTGTAGCCTTAGAGTAAATGCAGAAGACCAATCAAATTTTGTTCTTGGGCGAATGTTGGCTGAGCAAAAAAGAAAAAGAAATATCTTGTCATCCAATCATGTAGCCCACTGGCACAGCCTAGAACTGCGGTGCTCCGCCGGCCGTCAGCAAGCCGTTGGTGGTCTTGGCTTGTTGATCAGTTTCTAAATCGATTGACGAGGCAGCTAATCATCTCCCAACCCTGCGTTTGCATATATGACCAGTGCCGACACGGTCAACCCCTTAAGTACTGCGAAAAGCTCATTGCCCAGCCTTCTCTACGAACCATCGCGCCGACCGCTGATATCCCGCCTACTCCGTTAATAAAAACACAATCCACCTTATGAATACGATGGACGGCTTCAAGGGTTTCATTGCTCTTGGTTTGCTCTCGGCCGTGGCTATCTTGACCTTCGTCGTGTTTAAACGCCGAAAGAAGCAGCGGGCAAACAGACAGAGTCAGGCGTCGTTACTGGACTGGCTGCGGCCTGCCATTCGTGGGGGTCGGCAATGGAGACTAGCCGCGCATGATCACCAGAAGCCAGCGGAACTCGGAACTGAAGGAGATCAAGATTTAGAGGTGGTGGTACGAAGCACGTCACTGCAATCAGATGGCTTCGCCGTTCCGCAACCGTCATCCTTCATGCGTCTTCACCAAGGTTGTGGGAACCAAGAGTCGCCAATGTTTGCCCACATCGAGGCTATCGTTTTGGAAGCCCTGGGAAAAAATCGGCTGAAACCTTTCTGTAGCAACATGGTTTGTCGGGACTCAAAATGTCTGTCCTCTATTCTTTTGAAAACAGACTGGAAACCACTTGAGTTTCTTGAGGACCAATTTGGGAAAGACCTGCCACAGTTACGACAGGTGCTGTCCTACACTGGCATCGCTTCCGCAGCATTCGCAGCCCCATGTATAGAATACTTGACATCTACCTGGCATATCGGCGGTCTAATTGTTTTGGAGGCGGTTGAAGATTACCTCCAAAACCTTTCCAAGCAAGCTGATGCCGGACTGAATTTCAGAACTCATGGTTAGTTTGTGGGCTTGTTGAACTAATAGCTCATGCTAACGGTCTATCAATACATGTAGAGACGACAGAAGGCACTAGGATCAGCGTTGATTTGTCCGAGACTGGAGAAGCCATTTTCAAAGTGACGGGCAACCCGCCTACGCTGGTTGCTGTCGCCCAACAAGTTGCATGGATTTCGTCGTCTCTTCGCCTGCCTTCACGACGCAGAGAAAGAGGCGACCAGCTGCCACACCAGTATTGTGATGTTGGGATTGAGACAATAAATACGGGACTTCCTGGAAATCACACTAGTAGTGGTCCAGAGTTCCAAATTAGTTGTCAATTCGAAGACATTACCCTCCAAGAACAGAGCTGCTGGACGAATCTCATCAGCTCCGACGCCGTCCTCGCCCGCCACTTTCCGATACCGCCTCGAGGCGAGGAAAAAGGTTTAGAGATGAGTATCGACCTTCTCACCAAGATTTGTGGTATTCAAAACGCCATCGTGTTCGAAGGCGGGGTCGTTATGAAAGGCCCAACCGCCATGCTTCTGCCCATCAGCAGACAGGGGGATATTATTCAATGGCATCTTGTGGTCCCCGAACATGGTCGTCGACGACTTTCGTATTTGGAGGGCCTTAGACAATGCAAAAACCGAGCCTTAATCGACGAGGTTGACCTTGAAGCATTGAAAGACACTCGGGCGATAGTGGGATGGTGGTCCGAAGCACGTACGAGGCTCGGAGACCCGGATGTCAACTATGAAAATATCGACTACTCGACTGCAGAAGAATATGAGCCCACTGTGCGGTTCTCTAAGTTGGCTCTTGGTGTTCAACAGTTTGCCACAGCCCAGTTTGAGGCTACTCTTGGGCCCAAGGACTCTGGATACCAGATGAAGTGGGGAAGTGGTGCGTACGAAGACACAATATTTGACGCCAATCAGATGAGAGTTGTACTCTACGATACCGCAGATTCTCGAGCTTGGTTCGCGAATGGCGCCGAAGTCATTTTGCACATGATCCGGACACGCAGTACGCAGCGCCCTTTCATCATCAAAGGCAGACGAGTAGACATACCAAGCGAGGAATCTGCCGCTGATACACTTCTCCAACATAAGGATCTGGAGCTTGTCAGCGACAGACGGCGGCCAGAGACGTTAGAGACATTGGTGATCAGGTATTTTGGGGTTCTTGAAGACCTATTGGCCTTAGACCTGGGGAGAAAGGCACGTCCAGAGACAGCTGCTGGTGTTCCGTTTCAGAACCAGCTGGTTGGCCATGAATATATGGCACTTGTTGACAGAATGTCAATAAGCCATGTCAAGAAACGAATACTGGCTAAGACTAGCGGGGGTTGGTCCCAGCTGGTTCAGGACAGTGATGCCTTGACGCTTTTCGGCAGCGGGTTCGAGGACTTGATTCAGCCGCCATCGGGAGCTGAAGGATTGTGTCACCGATGGCGCACCATGCCAAAAGAAAAGGACTACCTTGGAATAAAGGTTGAAACCTTGCTCGACCTTTACAAGAAAGCAGGATGTCGGCTAAGCCAGGAGTATCTGACCCCAAGCCACCTTAAATGGCATCGAGGGGCTAGCACACTCTTTGAGCCATGTGAAAGTCCTGGAACGTTTCAATGTCAATGTGACAGAGTCCAGGAGATAACGGCTAGTGCAGCGGTGGGGAAAATAGTTCCACCTGGAAACCTCAAGGTCGGGGGAGCAGTAATATTCGGTAGGACATCCTTGGTGTCAGGCAAACGGAGTGCTCTGGCTGCTACTCCAAGACAAACACAGGCTTCGGGCTTCTATGGACAGGCAAATGTGTCCTTGGAATCGTCTATGAAGGGGATAGAGATGGAAATTGAGCGTGGGAGAGTCTCCTTCACAGCAGAGAGGACATGATGATAGATATTATGATGCCATATTTGGCTCATCGGAACGCACATCCAACCATGTTCTCCCCATTCTCAAGATACGTCCGTGGCCAACTATTCCGTGCTGATCTAGATTCGTGTGGCTCTCGCCCCCAGACTGACAACTTGCCCAAGTTACTAAGTAAGCTTGTTTTTGGAATACTGTAGCTTTGAAATTGGATTTACTCGCCCTGAAAGATATCCTGCAAAATATTTGACCGCGAAACCTGCATTTTATCACGTCAAGAAGCCAACGTGTGCTTTCCAGGCCAACTTCAGCCACGGGCAAGCGCTGGAGCCGCTTGCTCCAATGTCGTGACTCCTGCCAACTCCCTGATATCGGGCGCTTTTCAACCTATATGGAATGGGCGACGTGCTATTGACCATGGTCGTGGCTGAGCGCTACCCAACAGGTTCGCACACAATGCGTCGTGCGATTCCCACATGGGAGTCCAACCTCTTTGGGTTTTCCATGCTGATGCCCAGTGGCGGCAAAGTTCAAACATTTTTGCACCATGGACGACAATACCTCAAGCTACCTGCCTACTATCTATCTCCGACGAATAAGCTACACCTTTAAATGAAAGTGCACGCGACGCTCCTCACTCTCAAGCATATCCCGCATCTTTTGCCCTCATTGACAATCCCCCGAGCATGTTCCAAGATTAATCCAAGACATCCCTCATATTTTCTGTTTCGGAATTTCGACAATTCGAGAGAAAACTACCGACATGGACAAAGCCTCCCTTACACAATTGAACCCGACAACCAACCCTTGCCGGGCAGAGCCTCCCCCATATCAGTCGATTTCCCATGCACACCGTGTGCAGCATTATGACTCAGAACAATGGCAGGGTCTTGAGCCGACCGCTTCTTTCGCATGGGAATCGCCGTACTTCGGCAAAGCCCATGCAGTAGCCGGCAAACCTCACTGGGAAGTCAGGTTACGCGTGAAACCGCGCGATCTGCGGCGGCTCATGCGAGAAGGCTTCCACTGGGACATGAGCAACTTCGATTTCGAGGCCACATACACTCAGACACATCTTCGTGGCGAGAAGCCGTCTCTGTTCAAGAGGGGATGGACATGCAGGCGAAACTTTTTCTTATCCGACCTGGGAGACAAGCCTTACTGGACAGCGAAGTTGACTGTTTTTGCTCGGGAGATCAGCGTCTTGAAAGATTTCGAAGTCACGGATATCACGCCGGAGAACATGAGTTGGGCGTGTGCGTTTGTTGACGCCACGCAAACGTCTGCATGGGAGACGCCTAAGGCCAATGGAGAGACTCAACAAGTCTATTCATGGGTCCATGACAACCCTTCAAACACTTGGAACAATATTTATGGCGACTTGGCACTGGATGGCTGGTGGCCATGGCCGAAAGCCGACGTCGATACGATGTAGGAGATTGCCAGGATATATCTACTCTTATTTATCGGTGGAGATGGTGTTCTGCTACTTTTGATTTCATAAGTGCAGGAAGCCCTTTCGAGTAACTATGAAATCCTCTTTCTTCGTACAAACCTCCATCCGATGAAAAAAAGCTCCAATCGCTTCCCGGCCTTAGCATTCTGCTTCATAGCTTCCATAGCCAGTGTTGGTGAGTTGTATCTTTCTCAGCTTTTACAAAATGCCATCTTCAGTGGCTTTGCCTGACATGTACTTCCTAATTTCATCTTAATCGCGCGGTACATGCTTGGCAGCTGACAGCCGCTGCATGGCCCCCACCCACTGAACAGGGCATTGTTGGCAATGCTGGTTGCCTCCCTGCAGGGGTTCAGCATTTTTCGTGTATGCTCTGGCAGCGACAAGTGCTCTTCAATCGATTTAAGCATCTTCACACCCTTGCACAGAGGCACATTCATCTTTAAAGGCTTCCTCTCTTCACAACGAAACATTTCAAGCTCTTCCTTAACCCGGGTTTTATCAAGACTTCATAGCGTCAATAATGGCACCTTACGTTTACAAACCGCTTACCAAGCCGACGCGCAGAGACCACGCGTTCCGTCTCCTAGACATCCTCCCATGTTCCGCGAAGGATGAACCCATCAATGTTCGTTTACGGCATGTGCGTCTTGAAGACAAGCCGCAGTATGAATGTCTCTCATATTGCTGGGGCGATATGGCTCAGACCCATGAAGTCAACATAGTTTCTGAAAACGACAACGATGAGCAGGTCGGATCCATCAAAGTTCGAGAGAGTCTTCACGGAGCACTCGCAAGACTGCGCATTAATACGAAACCACGCACCATCTGGGCAGATGCCCTGTGTATCAACCAGCAAGATACGGATGAACGAAGCAGCCAAGTGTCTATCATGGCTCTTGTATACTGGAACTCACATAAGTTGGCCATCTGGCTCGGGCCTGACCCAGACAAACAGGCAACTGCGGCGTTTGAGGCTTTAAAACCAATTTCACAAGCCACGTGGGGGAAGACCCTCAAGTTGACGAATGAGGATGTCGACAAATTCGACCCCGTAGTTTGGGCAGGCGTGGGAAGATTATACGATAACCCTTGGTTTCGCCGTGCCTGGGTTCAACAAGAGATTGGGCTTTCTCGGAGCGCCGCGTTCTACTGGGGTGAAGCTGAAGCATACGGCATCCACGACTTGTTTGGCTTTGACATCTGTGCGGACTCTCAGGAAGGCGGCAAAAAGGCCAAGCAGATCTACATCAGAGACGCTACTGCTGTTAAGAGTACGCGAAATATTTGGCTCGAGTACGGGCAGGCAACACAACCAGGATGGAAGAAAGGGGACGAATTTCACAAGTTTATCAAGTCGACCAATTTTCTCAACCTGCTTTCGAAAACATTCTACTGCGAAGCAACAGACCCGAGAGATCGTATTTACGCCTTCCTCGGACACCCAAGTGCACGAAAGCCAGATGCGTACAGTGACGTCGAGAGCGAAGACTACATGGTCACTTGCGGCGGAAACGCGGCCCATGCCCCCATAATCATCCCAGATTACTCAAAGACCACCGAAGAAGTATACTTGGAAGTGGCCCGGAAATTGTTCTGGCAACATAAAGATCTACGCCCTCTTGGCGCAGTCTGTCACACAGAGGAGTCGCTAGCATCTGGCATGCCAAGCTGGGTACCTCTTTGGGACAAGTCAAGTCCATGGTTCATACCCATTGGCGCATGGGTCAGTCAGTGGAAAGACCGGGTTAGTTTGCAGAACACAGAACCAGTGAGGATTGGACACCGAGAGCTGCTTGTTGATGGTGTGGTTATCGCGACGACGACTCAGCGTCGAGAATGGACGGACGCCCTGGTACAAGAGACCGCACAGAAAATCGTACCAAAGGGCGGCTGGTCAAAGTTCGGATACAGGTCACGGAGATTAATGTGCCACACGAACGATGGGCTCGAGTGTTTGGTTCCAGACGTGACCAAACCCGGGGACAAGATTGCGATTCTAGTTGGAGGTTACTCTCCTTTCGTCATCCGCCATGTTAGCGACTCGGCTTACAAGATCATCGGCGCTTGCATTGTATGCGGCTGGAAGGACAATGAGCTGAGTCGTATCGCGGAGCGGTATCGTCATAATCTTCAGCAGATTGTTCTAGTCTAACTTTCAAGACCCATGTCTCCTAATACCTGTAGTGTTGAAGTAACACACTTCTAAGATCTGTCTTCGAATGGAATAAGCATCTTCTCGTTGGAAAGATCCCAAATCCCATCTCTCGAAATCCCTTATCTAGACATGGAAGCAAAGGTCAAAGTGAAATACACACGCACCTAAGTGACGCCGTCCTTGTTGCTAAGGGCAGACACAAATAAATAATCGATATGACTTCCGCGGTCGCGGGCAAGTGTTCGAGCTTCGGTTGAAGATCGTCGATGAACATCGGCTGGCTGTGCCTAATGGAGATGATCAACGGGATCGCAGAACTCTTTACTTATCATGTATCCTTACATCAATGATATGAGGCTATTGGTATAACCTCTTCTCGAATTCATTGACTCGCGCAGGTCGCGTAGGCTTTCACGATTGAAGACGTCGGCAACGGATGTGTTTCCACTGAGTTCTTGACGCTATGCTGTATCGCGGGGTTGGCCCTGCGACTTTACAAAGGGCACGGCCGTGCAGACGGGAGGAACGTAATGCTTCCGACGACGGGCCGCGCATGCAATTGACTTTCCATTCTAATTTAAAGTCACAAGATAATCGCGAGTCGGTTTCCTTGCCTACAAACTACGGTGTGTTTTCGAGATGCAATGTTGGTGCTAAATCTGACAGGACTTGCTTGCAGGACTCGCTTACAGGGGTTGCGGCGGCGTTGGAGATCTCGACGCATCAATCAAGATGCCAAGCACCAGTCATCAACGGCAATGCAACACATGCAGAAAATCATCCCAAGCGTAAACTCCAGCCTAGATCCAAATGCATTCGGACGATCCTCCGCGGAAGAAGACCGGAGATGAACACGACGGTGGGCCGGCCGGTTGAGCGGCAGCTCCCTGAGACGCGAGCATTCAAGCCCCCATCGCCCCCCAGCGTTCCAGAGGCCCCTAGCTCAAACCAGCCTCCGAGCGCAACGGCTCCGCAACTCGCACGAGAGGTCTCAGGGATTAGGGACTCGTTTGGTGTTTCCAGAGACTTCGTCACGAGGAATTACGAATACACCAGTAAAGATGAATTGTGATTTTAATTGATCCTGCATATGCACATACTTTCTTATGCCAGTACAATTGAGTTTTCTCGTCGCTGTAGAGCACGAGTAAAGCAGCTGTAGCGATTAGCGCAAGTCAAAAGAGCCTCAGTCTTTCAGGTCCCTGCGTGCCGTGCCTCGTTTCACATCTGCCCCTGCACGGATCAAACGGTTCGAACATGAAACACGTCAAGACACAACTACAGACGTATCAGCACCTCTGCTTGGCTGCTGACGAGATGGCAGGGGGCAATATTGGCCGATGTATTCCTTCCGCATCGGGTAGGCGCCCAGGTACAAGCGTTGCATCGCGAGATTCTCGGGGTGTTGGAGGTCTTCTCAAACGGATGGTGCAGCCGAGGGGGGCCGTTGGTGGACTCCAGAAGGGGGTCGGCAAGCTTTCAGAGGGGAGAAGAAAACTGGTCTTGTCCCCCGCGTTTTAGTTTGTCTTGTCATATTTCTTTCTCTTCTGTGTGGTGGTGAAGACTTGCATTTTTGGATTTGGTGATTGGACAGGCGAAAATCTATCTTTCTTTTGAACTTTGAAGTATCCTCGGGATCTGACACAGCGACACGATGGCTCCCAGAACGAAGCACTACGAGAACCTGCCCGATGTTGACGACCACGACAACCGCTCCAGCACGGAAGTCGAGGAGGGTTTGATGCATGAGGAGAAGCATTGGCACTCGATCGATCTTGACGCCGGCCCGTCACCGAAGAAGACATGGTGGAAGCAAACCAAGGCTCTCTTGAGGCGATATCGCTGGCTCATTGACACCCTACTCCTCCTGACAAACATTGGGTTGAGTTTGGGACTGAGTCTGTTGATGTACTATCAATTTGAGGATGCCAAGTTCCCTGTCACTGTCAGGCAGGTTGGCGGAGATTACACTGGTGCTGGACCAATGTGTAGGTCATCTGAAGCAAGTTCTGGGCGACAGGAATGCTAATTTCAGACAGTTCCCACGAAGGTTGTATCATTCGCAGCAGACTACGCGTATGTCCCGCCTAACGCGACGGAATTCATGAGCGATGCTACATTGAGCCAATGGAGGTCGCTGTTGCCTGGTAAGATGCTCGCTGTCCTTCATCGATGTTCAATACTGATTTCATGATAGTTGGCTCGGGATGGAAGTGGGTTGGCAATGACCCATTCTTCACCACATCAATGACCCATCAGCTGCACTGCATCGTGAGTTTTGCCCAATGATTCCTACACCCACGCATCAGCTAACAACATGTAGTTCATGATGGGCAATATCTTCTCGGGCCTGACGACAAACAACATGGACAAGGTTCCTACGGACTATGTCTCGCACTATTTCCACTGCGTCGATTACCTGAGACAGGCTGTCATGTGCTCTGGCGACGTGGCGCTTGAGCCGCATGAGATCACCGATTCGGACGACAACGGCCCACAAGATGGCAGCTGGAACGGACAGCATGTGTGTAAAGACTACAGCCAGGTCATGAAGTATCTCGACAGTAAGTTTGAACCTGAAAGACAGACTTGAATTTCGCTCGCTAACTTGGCTTGCAGAGCAAATTGCCGAGGGCGTTCGTGTTGTTTTGCCGATAGATGATTAATACTTAATTCGGGTGTTTTTGTGTGGTTCATAGCGTTCAACGGAGTCAAAGCTCAAGATATCAAAAAGAAAATACAGTTCGAATAGACTCTTGAAGAGTTGTAATCATTTGTCAGTTGTCTTGTTGGCGAAGGTGTGCAGTTATTGATTCAGGATGTATGCGAAAGGACTTTGAAGCCCTTGTCATCATATCTTTACTGCAACCAGGACTTGACAACTCTGCTCAGGCCTTCTGCCATCCACGGCTCCTCAATCTTCGACTCGTGATCGAAACCATGTTCACCAGGCCTCAAAGTCAAGTGAAACTCCAACTCAGGGTCCAACTTCTCAACCTTCTCTTCCAGCCTAATGCTTCCCGTCGCTGGCACGACCGTATCGTCCTGACCGTGCCATACGAAGACTCCACCGCGGGGAAATCTCGCTCCATCATCAATCTTGTCAAACGGAAAGAGTTGTCTCTTCTCGATGTCCAACAAGTGCTTCGTCAAACCGTGGTGCGTCAGTCCGAACATCAACCCGCCCCTCTCAAATCTCGAGTCATCGGAGATGATGGCGGGAATCGTGCCCTCGCGAATCTTCTTCATATGATCCTCCACAATGCTGTACGGCAACGGCCCAACGCCGAGGGTAGGTCCCTTCGACCCCTCCAAGAAGTGCGGGTCCTTGAGGTCGATGCCGGGGTAGGCGGCCGTGCAGGCGCGGATCTTGTCCGGGTGGAGCAGGCCGATCATCAGACTGATGTATCCGCCGGCGCTGTCGCCAGCCGTGAGGATACGGCTAGTATTGACGGCCACCTTGCCTCCGGTCTGTTCTTGCACGAAGGATGCGAGCTTGGTTTGTACCCAAGTGAAGTGGTCCTCGATATCAGACATGAGCTCCTCCATGGTGGCTTCCGGGCAGAGGCGGTAGTTCGGACTGACGATTACTGCGGAGTGGCGCTCGGCGAGTTGGAAGTGCCATGGTTGGAAAAAGGCTGGAAACATGCTGGAGGCAGCGATAAAGCCACCGCCATGGTAGCGGAGGATGATCGGAGCTGGAATTGTAGAGGGGTTTGAGAGGAGCTGCTTGGGGATGAGGACGTTGGTTGTGATTTCATGGCCTGAGACGGTCTTGTATGTAGTTGTGAGGACCTTCAGGTTGTCGAACCTGGATGTGTCATCGGGGTCCAGCTTGATGCTCATATTGGGTGACTATTGTTGGCAAAGGTTGTTTGTGTTCTCGAAACTTGGAGTTGATGTTGGATCTTGAAGTTCAACTGCAAGTCTGCTTATGTAGTTGAAGCCAGTCTCAAACTCGCGGAATCAGTTCACATCCGAAGCCGCGACACTCATTTATCTCCGGAACTGAGGTGGGGTGAATGACACAGCCCTGTGGCTCCGCGACTGGAGACTGCCAAGTCAAGGTGGAGATATTGTTCAAAACGTGGTTCGTTGCGTGGCTTCTCCAAATGCCGGCAAGAATGCCGAATATTTTATACTCGAGTGCGAAGAGCAATTCTCGGTGACAACTCAGTTGAAAGTTGGGCCAGCCGGGCTTTGAACGGACGGCCCAGGGGTGCCCCTGGCGAAAGTCCGGGGTTCAAAGTTAAGTTGGGGCCGGGCGTAAGCGTCTCCCGACTAACTCGCGTTTTCGGGATGCGCGGCTTGGAGGGGAAACATTTAATACCCGTGTTGAGGTACGGACTTAAGGTTCGGGTTGTGCACGAGCAGACGTTAAGTCTAGCCGATTTTTCATAAGTCGTTGTAGTTGACTACTTGATTCGTGAGCCCGTCACAAATTGACGCTATTGCAGATGAAGCCCACTTTCCTAAAATGGCCGTTGTGCGAGAGCCGCAGCAACTCAACTCCGCCATGACTCATCCCATTCACACAATTCACACAGATCTTAGTTACTGCAATTAGAGACCAAGTAGAAGTTACGAATTGAGGGTACCTTAAGAGAAAAATCATTTACTGGAAGGAGGCAGCTGCCATTTCAGTAGGTAATTTTGCGCTAAAATACGTAGTGTTTCTCATAAGGCGGGTCCAGGCCGATCCGATCCTTGACGGTAGTATCATTCCTTGTTTTGCTAGCTGTAGCTTCATCCATGCCGTCATACATAAGGCGATTCAAACGAACTCTGGTTGTGTCAACTTCGTCCTGAGCTTCGCAAGGTACAAACGCAATCCTGCCAATGTCTTCGCCACCATTCACGTCAGCCAGCTGGAACCTCACGTGGCCCAGTGCTTTGGCCCTCCCAAGACCGCTTAAAGCAGAGCTCTGGTGTAAGCTTGGCCCCTCACAGTATCTGTTGCCTATGGTCAAGGAGCTCACGTAGCCAAACACATCCGG